CTGTAATGTTCTCTCGCATCACTACCATCTTCACCGTTCTGGCATTTTTGACCATTGATACCATATGTTTTGAAGCAATTGATTGCAGTAGTACTGTTACCATTAACTTCCATAGCACTGGCCATGGCAGATAAAGGTAGAACAAAGATAGAAATAGAAACAAGAAATAGCGGAGAAATGATGAGTACTGACTTCCAAATCAGAAAAATCGTCTATGATCACGTCAAACAAACTTAAATAATATGACTCAAATATGAATATAATATTTTTATATATGATCTGATTATTTCTACCATAAAATTTGATAAATTAATATATTTTTAATCCCTTTTCTGACAAGGTCAATTGCTCATTTCAGGCGCTATATTTTCTCAGAAATGAAGTACGAAACTATAAGATTAGTAATTCTACTAATGCAAAACAACTACAAGATCTAAATGTTCCTCAGTTAATATTGTAACATTTTGAGAATGTAAACATAATAGTAGTTTAAATTTGTTGCCAGGCAATAATTATAATAATTTTATAGCAATTCAGACATTACAGATATGATATTTATATCTATTTCTATAAAACAGCTCTATAATTAAAGTAATCAAAATTCAGCGCTTTTCTCACTTATCGTATTTTCAATTTTTCTTTTAATTGCATTCGTTGCTGAGTATTTTCTCCGAATTAGCATGAATATTCTCATGTACTCATGAGAAATATCCAGTAGTTGACTTGAAATGAGTTTAAAAATAATGCTCATTTGCAAATGAACACTCATTTGTTTAAAATAAGTGGATATTTAGTGGCACATATATTAATTTCATTCATTATTAATTGTTAACAAATACTTATTTGGTTCATAATCTAAATTTATTTATTCTGAAAGTTTTTCTAAGCTTATTTTAGTGATTTTAAATACTTTCGTTATTTCGATGCTCTTTTTTCTGCAAGTTACTGAATGTTTCAATTTTGAATAAATATACTTAATAAGATGATAAAAATTCTCCTACCGGAAAATATGATCATTTGTTCCATGTATAGATTTAATTGTAAGATAAAAATTTCATTCACATATTTTTATTCAAATTTCTTCCTGAAAAACTATTTTTATTAATATGTAGACTGTATGTGATGTAAAAAAAAATCTAAAAGTTCAAATAAGTGATTAAAAAATAAAGTGAAGTAATGTGAAAAGCTCGTAATGCAAGAATCAGAGGAGTCAGAATAAAAAGGAAAAGAAGAAAAGAAAATGTAATTGAAGTGAATATAGTGGAGGAAGAAAGCTTACCAAATGTAATTTAGATTCGTTAAAGAGAATTAATAAGAGTGCTAACAAAGCTAAAAGTCCAATTCACGTAATAAAACAATCTACGTTTATGTGAATATGCCAGGGAAAAGCTTAATAACATGATGGCAATGCTATATCCCCGCATTCATCTGTCCAAGGAAATATCCAAAATTAGCATCTCAGTCTTATCCACGACTATTGTTGGTTTATGTTTATGCTTTACATTATTACTGAATAATTGATGAATGATTAGTATGGTTATTTCCGCTATAATTATTATGATTTCTGCAGACAATATTTTGTATTTATTAATGAAAATCACTAGTTGACTTGAAATGTATTTAGAAATAATACTCATTTGTTCAAAATAAATGAATATTTAGTAGCAGAGATGTTAATTTCATTCATTATTACTTTTTAATAAATACTTATTTGGTTTGTAATAGATTCAAAGTTTAAATAAAATAAAATAAAATAGAATCATATTCGTTGTTGGCTACATGTCATTTAATAATCACAGTTGTCTTACAATTATTTAAACTTTGAATTTTTGATATTTTTGGTAATAAAAGTTATGTAGTGCTTTCTTTCACTTTCTGACTGATTTTCGCTTATAATTTTATTAATAACCTTCTGACAAATTTGCAACATTTTTCATTAATTTGATATATTTTCATGTGCTTTTTACCGTGTAATTGCATTGCTTTTATTAAAAAGTTTAACGTTGCATTATTCTCAGTATTTCCTATTGATTTAGCGCCAATTCCTTTTCACGTTTATAACAAAAACTTTTATTTTTACGTTTTCTATTAAGTTTATAGTCATTAAGACTATAAAGTAAAATGTCAAATATTTAGCTTATAGCGCTTTACTGAATTTCACTTATACTGACAATAGTAGTAAAATGCTTTAAATGGGTAAAAGTGATGCTGCATGTGCTTTATGAACTTATTCAATGTATTTCAAAAAAAAGAGATTATGTTAACCTCAGTTATAGATTTGTTTTATGATAATTCTAACAACACTTATGTTGACAATAACAATAAAGTCAATTATGATTGCATGGGATTAATTTCATTTACTTTAATATCAGTTGATCATATTCGAGCAGTTTTGGGGCACAATTGAGATGGCTGAAATAATTTTTCTAAATTTAGCAATATACTGATCCGAATCGATTGATTGATTAGTTTTAACTAATTTATCAAATAATGGTTTATTTTAGATGTAATATTTCAAAATGGTGCGAAAGAAATGATGAAAAAAGAATCAATTTCAATTTTTGCAGATGTCAACTACTCATTTACAGTTAGTTTGTTGTACAATAGTATTACTTTCAATTTTTTCAAATTTAGTAATCTGAAAAAAGTTATCGAAAGATTGACTACAAGCTTTTAAAGTTATGAATAAATTATTTGAATTCATAAAAGTCGATCCATTAAATTCAAATTTGAGCATATGAATAATGTTATTATCATTATTTCCATTTTTGTTAAATCTTTCTAATGAGATGGCATGTTATTTCAGTATTTCGACGGTAAAGTTTTCGACTTGATCTTTCTCAATCAATCTACTGTGTCACAAATCTTGTTATTTGCCTCAAGTTATTTAAGAAATTTATGCTTTCATGAGTTTATGCAAAGTAAACTAAGCACTATCATTTTCATGTGATGCTAATTGGAGACAGCTGCTGTGGTAAAACTTGTTTACTAATACGATTCAAAGATGGAGCATTCTTGAATAATAATTTCATAGCTACTGTTGGAATAGATTATCGTGTAAACATTATTTTTTTAATGGTTTTTATCGAGCATTTATTACTTTTATTCGTACTCAAAAAATCATATTCTGAAAATATTCATCTTACATACGTTCAGGCTTAGCAAGTTACTCAAACTGTTGTATTTTTTTCAGAATAAACTAGTTGAAGTGGATGATTCTAAAGTTAAACTACAAGTAAGCGTAAACGACATTTGCAATTTCACTTTTCTTTTTTTCTATTTTTTATGATTAAATATTACTTTTGAAAGCGAAGTAATTTAATTTGGTCTATTTTTTATAATTAATAATTACTTTGTGAAGTGACGTAGTGTTTTGTGATTTAAACATTAATTTAACTTTTCCGTGTACTCATTTTAACTCGTCTTATATTTAATAAGAATGTAATTATGACTTATAAATTCACAGTTATTGGTTAATAAAGTCTTTTGAAAACATTTCAGTATTCAAAGTTTTCATAGGAAAACAAATAATATTTACACTGAACCAAATAGGGTAAAAAATTAATGCAAACCTAATAAGCAATTTCTCATATTTTGAAATTTGTTGTAATTTACTTGACAAGTATGCAAATTTTTGCTTTCGCATAGATTTGGGATACAGCGGGACAGGAAAGATTCCTCGCAATTACAACAAGCTATTATCGTGATGCTGATGCTCTTCTTCTCACATATGACATTACTAATCGCCAAAGTTTTATTAATATTCGAGTCAATCTTATTTTCTAAATAGTTTTCTGAAATTGCATCATGCACAATTGCAGTTAAATTCAAGCATACTTTTGCCGAAATGACACTAATTAAGTTCACAGTTATTAGTTTTTTCCTTTCAGTGATTCAATTACTTGAATTAATGAAAGGAAAGAATTCTTACAACAAATATTTTGGACTTATTTTGATTACTTTTAGGATTGGCTTACTCGAATTAGAGAGAAAGCCAAAGAGAATGTACTCATTACACTAATTGGCAACAAAATAGATTTACAAAGCAATCGAAAAGTAAAGTATGAAGAAGGAAAGCAACTTGCTGAGGTTTATATCAATATTTGAATTAAGGATATCAGAAATTAAATTCAATCTGTAAATTATCTTATTTGGCATTTTTGAGCTTACTAATATCATCAAAATTTTCCATAATTCTTTGCAAAATAATTAATATTGTTACCAAATTTCAGACATGCAATATAGCCTTTGCAGAAACAAGTGCTAAAACTGGTGAAAATGTGCAAGAAATATTTCACGATATTGCTAGGTAAAATTAACATATTATTATGATTTTTAACTTATTAACATGTCGCCGCCTAATTACTGCCAAAAATGACGACAATATTTGCATAATAATACTATTAAAAGATTTAAAATTATGTCTTTTTTTGCAGAAACCTGGTAAAATTGCAGAAAGGCGAGAATATTGTAAATGATAAACCAAGTATTACAGTTACCAGAAAATCAAATAGCAACAATTTTTGCTGTAATACTTATTGATTGTATTTACTGTTTTAATTTATTCGTTTGAGAAAACAGATTTTGCAAGAAAACACAACTAAGTATTTTGCAGAATTATAATTAAGCATTGAACTAATTATGCATACCGATGATTTAGCATATAAGTTGAGTTTTATGATTTGTATTAAATGGGTTGGTAGAATGATGATTTAGAAGTCTCAAAATGCAGTAAATAATCATATTAATTTAACAGTTAGTGTAAGTAATATTTTTTAAGACTGAGTTTTTGGTTTTTTTAATAGAGAACTTGAATTTTTTCAATAGACGTTTCTGTATAAAGCGTGAAGTCTTTGAAGTATTAATTAAATTATTACTGATGTTTGTGTAATTTCACGTTTGAAATAACTCGACAAAGAAAAGTGTTGAATTCTAAACGAAGAGTATCATCCTCTTCATTTATACTCGACTGAACTACTCGAAGACCGCTCATCCGAGGTGATGGGAGATGGAATTCCTCGATTGCACTATTACTCTTTCCTTGTTGATCTGTAGTATGTAGCAGAACTAACACAAGTGAAAGGTCAATATTGCCACGTTGTACAAATTCCTCGTACCTACAATGTAGAAATAAAACTCTTTCAACATAAACTAATAATGTGATAGCACTGTAATGAAGCAATCTGTAAAGTATTAATTTTTTCAGCTGATTATCTCATAATTTTTAAGTTACGTGACCCAAACATACTGCTTACTATTCAGTCAGCTAAGCAATTTTAAACTCGTCTGAAATTTTTTCACTTTTTGACTATCCAAACAATATTCAAATAAAATATCGAGATGCATATTTTGATTTACGAATCAAATTATCAAAATACAAACTTTAATTTATAAAAAAAGAAACAATTTAGATATATGGACAATAACAGACTTTTTTATCACTAAATAGATATTCAGGACGAATTTAAAATTTAAAGTTGAATTTATGAAGGAAAGCATTCTGTTGCTAGAAATTCAAAAAATTTTTAGCAGTATTATAAATTTAATAAACTTTCAAGAAATGAATCGGAAATACTGGAAAGCATGTTCAAACTAATTAAAACATGCATTTCAACTTGTAAATACTAAATATGTTATATCACATAAATGTAACAGAATCAAACTTCTTGTCAGACTGATAAAAAAGATAAATTCATGCAATCAGAAAACCATTTTATAGCCCCAAATCATTTTGTTCAGTAAATAATCGCAATGATATCTATTTTCAGGAATAATACCAACCATATTTTGCATTTATTTTTGTGTGCAATTTTTATTTGGCAAATTTTACAAAATTTTTTGCTGTGATTTTTTTGTACAAAACTAACTGTACAATTTGCAGTAAACTTTTTCATTACATATCAATACATGATTAGAAAATCATGTTGTATTTTTTATCATAATTTTTATCATTCTGATATATTGTTAAGAGCATATAATATATATTCTAATGCAAAAATTGCATTTCCTTATATTTATGCAATTTTTCAATTCAAAGAAAAGTTAAAAGCAGATAAAGTACCAAGGTAATAGTGCTGATCCTTTGTGCTGATCAGGTTTACAAACCAATATCACGCCATCAGCGTCACGTCTAATTGCCGGCCAGCAAACTTTGTACTCTTCATCACCGCTACAATCCCATAATTCTACGTCAGCTTCCACACGCTCTCCATCAAGTTCTAATTCGTTGCTTTCAAATTCAACAATCCGAACTCCTTCATTAATATTTATTTAAATTTTAATATTCATTTAAATTTTTTTGACGCAAGTAAAGTGTTTTAGGTAACTTTATTTACTTGTTTAAAAGAGAATGTCTTATCTAATTTTGATTTAATTTTTCGAACTTTTTTGAGATAAAGTAACTGAATGTTTACAACGAAATCAATACTTTCAATTTACTTTATTATTAATACTTTCAATTAACACAACAATTATTTCTTGTATGTCACAAAGAACTTTTAATTTACATAAAAAATATGTTGTTGAGAGTAAAGGATAACAAATCTAATTAAAAAATTGATTGCAATAATTTCCTTTCGATTCAAACTTTTTATAATTTTAACTGCGAAAAATTAATTTGCGAATATAAAGTAAGAAGTACCTCGCGTCGGTTGGTACTCATTGAAACTGAGATCATTTGAATCTGCCAAATAATTCGATATTGTAGTCTTACCACTCTTCAACATTGATAAACAAATTTTTTGAACAAAAATATGATTTAATATAAATTTCCGTAGAAGCAAATACTCACACTGATGATAAAGATAAGTAACAGTGATCGCATAAACTCTTAATATTTAAGTTAAAGATTTTAGTTTTTCAAACATTAATACTTTGTAGAAATAGTTGAATTTTCATTTCAGTTTGTTAACAGTTAATCCAATCTTTCTACTTTGCAGTATGTATGAAAACTTTTAAGTTATTATTCAACCATTATATACAACAATATTCGAATATATTACTTGAATTAACAACAAATAATGGTCAATTAAGTTTATTTACTTACCCTAACTGGTCCTAGCACAAGAATTTTGATTTTCAGCGAAGCAACACTCACAGCCATTCTGACAGCACGTTAGTGCAGCGTAATTGTCATGACAACGATTTATCCCATTTTTAACAACTTTTAGCTTCCCAGATTTTTGATACTTGCTTAACGTGAAACGAACGTCAGACACACTTCACTTTCAGTACTTTCGATCACATATCCAATAGACTGTTCAAAGCCATTCTAGATATATTTACTATTTATATACATATTTTCTGAATAATAAAACTTCCAAACACAGTCACATATCCATTCAATCAATTCAAATCGAAGTATTATTTTTAATTTCCCTATATTTTTCAGTGTCTCGTTGCTAATTAATGTGTGCATGTTTTTTGCACATAATTAATATTTAACTTAGTCTGCATTATATTTTAAGATAAAAGCTCAATTTATTGCAAATTAGTTATTAATAAATTTTTTAACCGTTTTTTTTCTAGTTTATTTGACATTCTAATACTTATTTTCAAATGCAGTAAATTTTGAATTTTTGTTGTGCTTCATCTTCATTATTTTGGAGTGTTCATTGAAATCCATGCAAGGCAAGACATTTTCACAAAATGGCAATTACTTAATTCATTGATATTAAACAATTTTCTTTGCATTTCGCAGTGTAAATTATAATCTCATAAAGTTTATTATAGCAAAATATTAAATGTTTAAAAATAATAAACACGAGACAAAAATAGTCAAATTTTTATATAATACGAATTTATGCATAAGTCTGATTATTCAGCTTTTATTTTTTGCTTTTTATTTTTTGCACATTGAAATGAAATAACTACTTTTGTATCAATAGATCCCTTTTGTATGTAAAGGTTGTGAACTTTTACATACAAAAGTGATCTACTGACTTTTTTAATAATATTTTTGTATTTCTTTCAATTTTTACGAATAGAAAAAAATTCGAAATAATCTGAAGTCCGAGATATGTACAAGGTTCAAATAAGGCGTTTAAAAAGTACACGTAACGTTTATTTATCACTACATTTTACAATATCTGTGATCATACAATATTTACTACAATACTTTTTCCGAAAGTATTTTTAATAATTACAAAAATCATAAAGGCTTAACTATTAGATATCGAAGAGTGAAAGTGTTTCAAGCAGAAAATATAATAAAAAACGATTCGTATACAAATTTCAATTATTATACAGAATTCATTTATCAAATCCACTTTGAAATCAAAACCAAAAGTCTTAAATTTTTGGATTGAAAACAAATGCATTCCGTAGTGTTATTGGAACAAGAGAATATTGAACGCGAAGTAAGCATACAAATAACTAATACTACTGTGGTAGAAAAATAACGAAAAAATATCTTAAGGCACCGTGTGCAACCCGTAGTTAGAATGAACGAATAATGCTGGTATTGGCATGACTTAATGCGAAGATTCACTCTGATTTGCTTTAGTATCAGCTATATAAGTCTTTCTTCAGGTGGAGATTTTAGCACTGAATTCATCTAAAATCACAAAAATTAGGATTTCATTTAAACTATAACCGGTTGAAAGATTAAAATTTTTTCTTAATTTTTTGCTATATATGATTTTTGAAATTATGGAAAACTATGAAGTAGATGATAAAAACCACTGACTACTTAATCTTTATTAATTGTGAAAGAAAGAAAAATCAAATTTGAATGTCATTATGCCTTGAATAATCACGCATAGAGAAGGAATCTAAATACTTTACCGGCATTCGTGATGTACTGATTTCGTGATGTGAAGGACTATAAGTACCCTGATTAGCACGTCTTCCACGGAAAATAACTAATATAAACAGTACACAACCAATGATAAAGAAAGCCATTATCAAAGCTGTCAACGGTCCAGCAACGTAACTCAAAGGGAAAGGCCTGAAAAGTGAGGCATCATTCTTTTTTAATCTTACTGTAGCCTGTGATTTTGTAGTGGTAATAGATATCAGTACAATAACATGGTAATAGAAACTGAGAAAAATTAGATGTTAAAAGTCATCCAATTTCTTCCAAAAATTCTTCGATGTCATCTCTAATTTTATGACTTTGAAAATATGCTAGCAATATTCAGATGTAAATATTGTATGCTTTCAAACCTGTAACTTTATTTTTTTTATTAGAAATGCATTATTTTTTAAGAACAAATAACAAAATCTCTCTAATGCTTTATCTAATATTTAAGAATATTTGCATAGTCTTAATCAAGTTTTTTATTTTGATTTCGCATTTTATTCGTCTTGAAAATGTTTAAAAGCGCAAATATGACAAAGCAGAAAAGAATCATCACAAGTTAGTCATTTGGGATTCAAAAAAATTAATTGGTTAGTGATAAAATCAAACAAATTAACAAACTTCCTCGTCTGAACCAAGTGAATGCAATGTTCGCCACCATAACCAGGCTCGCATTTGCATTCATAATTTGCAAATTCTAAACCATTCTGAGTGATAACTTCAGAATTCACACATGTACCATGCAAGCAATCATGTCTTGTTTGATTCGAATCATTTGAATAGCATGGATCTTCAAGTTGACAACGTTTTCCAAAGTACCCTTTAATAATTCATTTAATTTCTCTATATTATCTAATATAATAATCTTCTTATGCAATGCTAAATCAGCTGATGTTTTTTTTCTGAATTTAACAGTTGCTAATTAATTTGTAAAAATAATTAGATCATAGAACCAATCAAAAAAATAAAGTTAAAATTACCTGTATTACAAGAACAATTGTATGAGCCAACTAAATTAGTACAATTGCCATGAACACAAATATCCAAAGCACATTCATCAACATCTTCAGTGCAGTAAACACCTTGATAACCTGTATTTTCACAATTACATTCATATCCATTAATTCGATCTATACAAATTCCACCATTTTCACAGATATTTTCCACGCAATCATCGATATCCACTGAACACGTTTCCCCTATAATGCGTGGAAAGGTTTAATTCATTAAGTTTGAATAATCATCATTTAAAAGAAATTTTCAAGCAACAAAGAAACAAAATAAGATTTGATGAGCAATTCAAATATTCAAGTCTAAAAAAATTTTTGTGTTGAAGAATTCTTCACGTAGAGTTGAAAATGATAAAAGTTCTTGATTTTACAATAATAAAATATTACCTTAAAATACGAAAAAAGCTCACACATTTCACTTCGAATTATAATTAATACTTTAAAGGCATAATTCAATATTCCATTACTGATATCTTATACTATGACCTCCTTCAGATATGATGATAATTTTTTAACGCATAATTAATAATGGAACATGAAAAGTAACCTGTAAAACCAGGCAGACAGAGACAGCTGAATCCTCCAACAAATTTTTCACATGTAGCACCGTTTCTGCATGGTTCGTCTTTACAGTAATCAATCACATCATTGCAGTAATGTCCAGTATATCCATGTTTGCACAGACATGTATGGGATGCAGCTGTTTGTTGCACACAATTAGCATTAGCACCACAAGGTTCAGCAACACAACTACCTACTATCTCACAACGATCACCTGAAATCTCGTTGTTTCAAGAAATGAAATATTTTGGTTTTAAAAACTACGCCTTAGTTAATTTTTGACACTAAAATTTTCACAAATCAACAAAAAAATTCAATTTATATCCAATATTATTCGGAGGTAATACCGAATCTATCATACACTATAAATTTACTTCAATAAACGTAATTAATAAATTTTTTCTCACTTGAATTTTTGAATTAACAGAGCTTTACTCTTTTTTATTTCAGAGAATAATCTTTTGAATCAAAATATGATTTATTGCAACCAAACAAAGTTTTTACAAATACTAAACTCATACTTTTCGTATTTCAAATTAAAAATTTATATGAACTTTTTTTACAAAAATTAAGAATTAGGATAAAATTGAACTTCATGCAATGAACTTGAAAACTAAATTTTCGAACTATAAATCATAATGAGTTGAAATATCTGGTTTGAAAGGGATAGTATTAACCTGAATAATAATTATCACATGTACAATAGTACGACCCAGGAGTATTTGTACAATTACCGTCATGTTCGCACGGAAACCGTATGCATTCATCAACATCAATATCACAATGTGGACCTTTCCAACCAGAATCACAGTCACACCAAAAATCATCATTTATCGTCTTGCAAGGACCATGTACGCATGGTGATGTTGTACAGTAGTCTTTCTGTATATCACATAATCTACCTGCAAAATACTATGCTAAATTAGCCAAACAAATTATATGTTATCGTCATCATATACATAAAAAAGCCAATAATTATAGTAAATGTCAAGACTTAAATCATTTATGATGTATGAGCAGTCGTAGTAAAGCATACGATAGTTAAAATATGCCTCAGATGATTAGTTATGCTATTCACATCTGTGCTAAGAAAATTTACTGTGAATGACAAGCTACAGAATCCATGTCAAATGTATTTTAGTTTAAAAGTGCATAATTAGTGCTTTTAGATATTCTAGTATTCAATTTTATAAAATGCTATGTAACGTATTGATGCATTCTCGAACTTTAACTATTGCAAGGATTCACAGCAACGTAACTTAATAGATTCAGAAATTTGCTGAAATATCAGCAAAGAAAAAATACAAAAATTTAAATTCTTAAGTAGTATTATCTAAGTTTTTTCGACAACCTTCCACAGATTTTTATAACAATTCAACAATACAATCACATATGATAGATGCTCACTCAGTTGATCAACAGTTTAATTATTTAATTAATTAAATATAATTTAGCATGGCTACCTTCATAGCTTGCTGTGCACAAGCATTCAAAATCATCATTTCTTGATAAGCAAGTCGCCCCATTTTTGCATAAATTTGGTTCACAAAAATCCTTTTTTGCATCACAGAGTGTATTTTCAAAACCAAGCGGACAATCACATTCAAATGTGTCCTAAAAGTAAAATGTTTTTCATAATAAAAATATTTAAAGATAATTTAAAAAGTATTTGAAATTGCATGGTAGCATTTTATTCCATTTCATTTACACCATTTTCTATTAAGTTATACTAAAAACTGTCTTCTGAAAATTTAATATTTCATTAATAAATTAGTTAATTGTTTAAATAACAAAAAAATTTACATTAATTTCTGTACATTTTGCGCCATTTTCACAAGGTACAGATGCACATTTGGATGATTTCTGCAAAGATTACAATAAGTATATAATTGAAAGCTTCAAGTTGATTGCAAGCTGATCATATTATCTTTTTATGGAACACATTAGAAAATTAATCATTAATCAATTTTCAACATTATTCTGTTACCACAATTATATTAATTTAAGAACTTTATTTTTATTTTTTGTTGCTAATAGAAAGGTATTGTAGTGGCATTGATGCAAGTTCATTATTATATTACAGTCATGATACTTAAAAATATCCATCGACTTGTTACCCTTCCTTACAAACATAATATATTACCAATGTTTGACAACGCGCTCCAACAAATTGAGCGGGACAATCACAATTATACTTGCCATTTTTTGATGTACAATGCCCACCATTTAAACATGGGAATAATTTGCATAAATCTTGTTTCTTATCACAAAATTTGCCAGTATATTCTGGTAAACACTGACACCTGAAAATAAGTAACATCAGGTCAGAAAAAAGTTTCAAATATTACAACACAGAAACAATAAATCATCTTAATGTATATCAGAAAAAATGAAGTAATCAAATAAATATAGATAAAAATATAAAAATAATCATTAATAAAATTGATGATGACAGAAATTCTTACTATTAAAAAAACGTAATAGCTAAGTTTAAGAGACCTGTAATCAGTAATCCCATTGAGACATATGCCAAATTTGCAGTTGTGGTTTTCACAGTAATTAATTCTTGTCTATAAAATTCAAGTTTATATATATAATAACTCGTAACATAACTTGAAGGAAATTTTTTTTTCAACTTCGAATATTTCAAGAAATAAGCAGACAGATAACAGCTTACTTCACAATAAGTTCCGTTAAATCCTGGCTGACACTTGCATTCTCGTAAATTCCACAAATCCCGACAAATTGCTCCATTCTTGCATGGATTCGTTACGCCACACAGTTCTTCAGAATAGCAGCGGTCAGTGATAATATTCTGACGCTTGTCCAATTTAAAATGGGTAATGTTTTCCAACATGCCACCTGCTTGTTCACCATTAAAAAATGAAACGGGTGATGCTGATCCAATTTTCATATCTTCAATACATCCCTAAATTACATTTTTTAACTTTTTTAATTTGGCTAACAATCACTTATTATTACCATTAATATTATTGCACTGAATTAAGTGAGAGAGAAATTACTTTATCACTTATGTACAGAAAACATAAATTAACGAAATATGTCTATGAAATTCCAAAGTTTTGTTTTGTTCTTCAAACTTAGGTTTGAAGAAAAATTAAAACTCGAAAAGTTCCATCTCAGTATGAAATATAGTCAGATTAATGAAATGTAAGCATGAAATGGATTTAATTAAATTTTCGTGAGGAATTGATAATTATTATTTCTTCGTTTTATCAATAATATCGAAAGAATTTAAAAATCTTAAATAAAATTATAATTGAAAATTGCATCTACAAGAAGTACTTAAAATACATTGTGAGCTGATTTATTACATTTAAAAAATTTTTCACAATCGTAGTAATATTCAAATAATAAAGTAATGAATTGCAAAAATTATAATAATTATTGACTTATAATTTAAAGTTGTGGCTAATATTTGAAGAATTGTATTATATTTAAAGTTATATTTAACGAATTTATTAATAAATTTTGCAAATTAAAAACTTATTATTATTATTATTATTTTTAATAGCTTTGACAAACCTCGAAAGATAGCATTTCATCGTTTCGCCGTCCAATTATTAAAGTAATATTTTCGTTCAGATTTAAACTACTCGTCAACAATGGTAATAACGACTTTTTATTAGCAATTTTGCCATCGATATATATTCCGTTATGAGTGACAGCTATTTTATGCAGAATACCATCATTTACCATAATATTAGCACTTTGCTTTTTAATATTATCATTTATCAGTGCTTCCAAAGAGACCAAGCCATTAATAAGCTGCACGGAAAGAAATGTATTCAGCATTTTCTGCAAAACAAATTTTCAGTTTCACCAAAAAAATTGCTAATTTGTCTGATTATTTATAAGATATCAAATAATAATTCTACAGAAATATCTAAATGTAATTTCACATTTTCATGCTAATAAAATTAGCTTTTGAAAGATTAATAATTATTTAAAGTTGTTGCAAGTAATTATGTTAAATTAATTATTCACTACTTTGTATTGCTAAAAATTCATGCAGTGATAAAATGAAAATATTCGTTAGCTCAAAATTCATTAATTATTTATTAAAACACATACCAAATAAATAATATGACCTAATGTAGATCGAGTTCGTACTGTAAAACTGATTTCTGAAAACTTAAATGCTTTTGTTGCTTTATTACCTTCCAACTTGAAATATGCTGATGATTTGGATAAAAATGTGGCGGGAGAAGTACCTAAAATAAATGTGAATCAGAATAATAATTCTACAGTTATAATTGATTTTGCATATTACTTCCTTGACTTACTTAATTGGTACAGTTGATTCAAAGATAATTTTGAACAATAGTGTGGTAAACTTACAGACATAGCCACCTTCATAATTTGTGCAAGTAACATTAGCACCGCACGAAGAAAGTGCGCAATGGTCGCGTTCGTTGCACTGCTTTCCCACCCAAGAATGCTCACAGACACATTCAAAATCATTGAATGTATTGAAGCACTTTCCGTTTACACATGGTTTTAGCAAGTCGCAAATGTCATCAGATACTGTACCCTAAAATGATATATATTTTTTTAAAATACTCTGCGGCCAAGGAAATTATGGCTGAAGCACTGATTTTTTAAAATAAATAAAACTATTTCAAAGTTAGATACATATAAAGCTAGATTTAGATCAAAAAATCAGAGTCTGAATTTGACTTTACCGTAAATTTGGTTGCAGTCAACTTATTACGAAGGTTTGTTCAATTTAGTCCGGCCATTTAAAGATAAAATTGTATTGAACTGACAAAAAGATTATTTTATTATGAATTCTTCACACCAAACAGTTAAAAACACCACTATTAATAGGATGTGAACACATATATTTCTTTCCTCTGGGGTTTACCATATTTTTTTAATCTATTTTTCGCACAAATGAAAGTTTCAGATTTTTAATAATCAATAATTGTTAAATTGATAAAATTAAATGATTCAGAAGTAATCAGGAAAGAACAAATATTAGTGCAGAAATTTTGACAGTATGAATTATATTACTTCTAAAATATTTTCTCTTTCGGTTTCAACACCAAATTTTCCAACTTCAATATGATCGTGCAATTCAGTGAGAGGTACCAAATAGCCGTTTACACGTAAGTCTTGAAGTGTTCCCTTGAAAAAATCACTAGTGGAAAAAACACCCGCAGGTAAGTCTTTACTGCTACCCAAAATTAAAGTATCCGCAAGCAGAGGATGATCGAATCGATTCTCAACAGCGAATTTCATTCTTTCTACACCATCTATTGAAACCTACATTAAAATTAATGATCATAATTATCAAAAAAATTATTTTTATTCCTATCAAGAAAATAGGTTTACAGCATGAAACAGACAGAGTACAAGTTTATTATTATCAATTTCAGTTTAAAAGATTCAAAAATTGAGAGAGAAATTAACTTAATTTAGTGCAGTAAGTTTGAAAATTTTTAGTAAATTTAAACGCTAAAATGAATTGAAAACACTACAAATAATTTGAAATCGTTTCATAGCAAATCACTAAATTGAGCAACACTTTAGGAATTGAATTAATTAGAATAAGACAGACTGTGATTTTGATAACGTTTTTCGAAAAAAAAATTCATACTCACACTAAAATTATTTCGATCTCTGATCAAATTAATCGAACGGACTTTGTTATCGTCAATTTTATCAGTGTGTATACTTCTCGAGAATATTTTCTTTCCCCCTAATCGTGAGCGAACATCCAGCAAACCATTTATACTTTGTAAAGCAATGAATGTTCCAACATCATCACTATTCTGAATAATAAAATTTTTTTACTCATGAACTTCTCTTATCAAATCAGTATCAACCATACAAGCATGGTCTTTTTTTTTCATTTGAATAGTTAGTTCCAGCTATGGATGCTTTGAAAATCTCATCTGAGTTTGTGATAAGTAGAGAAAGTTTTCAACTTGTCGATTATATAGTTACTTTACCTTTTCTCCCAAATACAACACTGTACCATTTGGTTTATTCGTTCTTAATAAGAATTCGATATTCGTGAGTAATTTAATACTTTCCAAATTATTTTCTGTACTCAATTGCAGTTTTGATTTCATATTTTTGTGACCAAAAGTAACTTCTTCTGTTTGATGTAAACAATATGGTGGCAAAAACGGTTTTTTACAATCACACAGGAACTCATCCCACTGATCATGACAAATACCATCATTTTGGCAAGGATTTGGTGTACAAATTTCAGAACGATGACATCCCTCAGTTACCCCAAATACATTACTGAAATCAATAATTTTATTCGAGAAAATTTGGTCAAATTTGTATTAAACAAAAGTGTACTTTTTCAACAAAGTCTATACTAAAAAATTGCTTATCTGTACTTACTGTATGATTTGTTTCTGGTAAATTTTCTAGTTTTTACATCACTCATAATTAAACATATTATGATATCATGCAAAACACTACTTTTATATCTATGTTCCAAAAAAAAACTTACATGGATTTTCTCATATTGATGAATTCTCCGTTGATAAATAAATCACGAATACAACCTTTAAATCCATCTGAGCGACCTTTACCTAATCTTGTCCAAAAAATTCCCATGTTTTTTCGTTCTTTCATTTTAAAACGTGTTAAAACAAAATCTTCTTCACGTACTTCCAATGATACAATCTGTAACTAGAAATTTTAGTTATGCTAAAAAAACTATAAAGGGAAAAATAATTTGATATTTTTAAGCTAACAATAATATTAAGTAAGAAAAGGTTAATTTCTAGTCAATTTAAAATGAAATAATTTCTAATTTCCAGAACGTAATTTCTTGTGTAGATTTTTTTTAAACAGTCTTTTTAATTTAATTAGTTACGTTTATCTAACAATCTATTTACTTACGTTTTATCAAAAATACAATACTTCCATGCAATATATCAATTTTATTTAATTTCTACTTGACTGAATTATTTCAAGTTAAAGTATCTTTTCAAGCATTTATCCACAACACGAAAACAAAGCTTTACCGTGTTTTTCATTGCTTCTTTGCTACAGATATATACATATCCATACTTTTTAGTCTTTAACATTTTACGGTAAAGATAACTAGCATATTTTTAAAATTAAAACCTTTTCAGTATTGTTGAACACTACAGTATACCAGTGATCATCATTTACCATAAATGGTAGCACTTTCCGATAAACCAAACCCGTAAAGTTTCCATACAAGTAGCCATGGCGTATACTTAAAGCAAACTGCAATTCACTTAAAATATTCTCCGTTGACAGTATATGCGTATCGGCAAGAGTAGTACGAAAGGCAAAGCTTAATGTGTAATCAGAGATAGGCGAGCTGAAATTATTTACATACTGTAATAATTTTCTGCTCATTTCACGAAAATTAGAGATTATCAAAGATTTCTCAATTTCGTTATCATATAATCAATTTACTAAAATTATCATTAAAATATTATTTGAAAAGCAAGCAAATACAGCCAAAAATATTACGACAAACAGAATTTTCATCATGAATTATAAATAAAATGAATAGACGGATTTTGGTTCTAACAATGTAATAATTTAGATTCACTTCAGGTCACTGATGATGTAAAAATTTGTTACTCAAGAATGTTATCAGATGACTGATGCAGAAAGAATGAAGATGTATGAAAAGTGTTCGCCGTGTTTGTAGCACAGGCTGATCCAATCAAACCTGGTGCGCAACCACAAAAAGCGACTCTTCCTGTTACAGTAATTCGATTCCGACAAATTTGGTAATCTGGACAAGATAGCTGCCGGCATTCCTACAGTATCAATTAAATAATGCTGTGTAATTTGACAAATTGAAATTAATTCATTTTAGTCTTATAAGTAACGTATGTTCAGCGTAGTATAAATACAGAAGTTTTGAAAATTTAATGTCGTACGAAGTAGTTTGACTGTCAAAAATCTTACTTGTTCTAAAAAGTAAACTTGAAATAGCAGCTTAGAATCAGTACTAAATTTAAATTAAATTCTGATTCAAAGATTAGTTAGTTTGATTACTGATTTACATCTCACCTCAATCGGTTGATCACATTTTGGTCCAGTCCAAGAAGTTTCGCAGATGCACACCGCATTTCCAGAATTTTCAATACATCGAAACGAATGTAGACAATCATCGCAAGATACTTGGCTCTAAATTATAACATATATTTCAAAAATACATGAAAAAAACTGAAACTTTAAGTAAGCATTCGATGAGCTTTAAAATTTGATCTTAATAGAGCGTACGAGTATGTCCTACTATATTTGCTTTTAAAGTAATTATAGTTACTTCAATTTATTAATTTCAATCTCGTGACTAAAGTTTTAGCTACAGCAATCATGATATATGTATACTTTTGAAATCTAAAATAATGTCTCTCGGATTTCACGAGAAAACGAAAATTATTACATAGACATAGAATAAGGGAGACACAATGTCACAAATGATGAATCTGTTACCTTAGCACATGTAAAAGTACCATTGTTTTGCTCACAAACTTCACCCGCCATGCAATCTGGAACACATTCCGTTTCATACGCCACTGATTCACAACGTAGACCACTAAATCCTCGAGCGCAAAGGCAAGTGAAATTAGATGAACCTGTTAAAAAATCACTGTTTAGAAATTTATTCTAGGTGTTATTCAGTCATTTTCTTAGCAATTAATCATAACTGTTTAAAATTTTTACTATTTTAAAACAATCAAATTTTAAGAACAAAAACTGAACTTCAAAAGTTAACTTTTGTTAAATGATAGTTCTAATTTACTTTGTGAATAATACTAAAGAACTCACTTGTTGAATCAAACAGGCATTCACCATTGTTCAGGCACGGTTTCGTCGCGCATACATCTATCGTTTCACAAAATTCCCCAGTACTACCTTCAGGGCAGATGCAAACTGCTGTATTGCCTTCATTTTTTACTACGCATTTGCCTAAATTCATAGAATCAATGATATATGCTTTAATTTAGAGATTTTTGATGAAATCTGCCCTCTACTAAAATATATTGACAAAGTTAATATTGATTCCATCGATGGACTTGTAGTACTTATGAAAAAGTCCAAAATATGTATTTGCAGTATTTTAACTACATACATTTTATTATTTTTTAGCTATGATTTTACAATTTTACTACATATTTAAACAAAAATTAGTCGTGCTCTGGGTAAAATTAGCTTAGATTCAACTTGGATGGATTTTTTTATCATATATCATCATTGGTTCAAAAAGTGGTGATTAAGATATTTCAGGTTTCGAACTGATGACCGAAAATTACCATTGTTGCAAGTTTTACTCAAACAAGGGTCAACATTCACGACATTTTCTTCGCAATATTTGCCCTCAAAACCATCTTCACATTTGCATATTGTTCCATTTGCAGACCAAATACAACTACCATGCACGCAGTAATTGCTAAAATTTACCCACGTGAGTTATAACGAATCATTAATAAAAATAGTTGTAAAGTTATATTAGTGTCATAAACTTTGCTCGTACTGATCGTGTCACATACAATCATGAAAACAATTATGGTCGTAGGCTGACTTCATATCTCATACCATCAATTGTATATTTCTTGCCTCTAAATTATTGTTGAGTAATCTCATTGTTAAATATGAATTTATGCGCGAAATTTTATCTCAAACATATTTTTATTAATTTATCGGAAGATATAATTTGTAATTCTTACCCATTTATAGTGCATTCGAGTACGTGCTCGCAGTGCAGACCAGTGAAGCCCGGTTCACAGAGGCAACCTCCTGTACTTTCTACACAAGTACCACCGTTTTCACATCCACCATCTCGTGTACATGACCATGGCATTGGTTCATTACAGTCTTTACCCTGCAATATCACTGTAATAGAAATTATTAACATATCTTGGAGCTACCATAGTATACTTTAAGATTAGTCACAATAAGAAGTTGATGTAATATTTTGCTGCATTACAAATGCTTTGACATAAAAATGATGGAAAGTACGATAAAAGCCGTCCTGTTATTGTTCAAGAAATTATTTGATACAATAATAGATAATGCCATAAAACTATCAATATATTATTGTAATAAGTGCCCTCAGAATAGATAATGGATTATGGTACAACATCTATTTAACTATTGTTATAAGTGCTATTTATAGTAGCAGATTTTTAAAGACAGTTATACTAAAACAGTAGTGGGAAATTTGAAAATAACTCTGATCGTACTATTTTGCTTCTGATTTACTGTCCTTTAATCTCAAACTTTAAGTTATCTATTCTAATTTTTGTACTTTTTTCTTGAAAATTGCTTCAAGTCTTTTAATAAACCATTTTGGTTTACTTTACTTACCATAAGACCCTCGGGACATTTACACACTCCATTAACACAGATTTGTTTCGAGCTTTTGCAGTTGCATTCTCGCTCAATCCGGTTCTACAAATTTGTATTCATCTCTATGAAATACTGTACATTTAAAATAAAGTAAAGTTACGGCAACCTGCTTGCGTTAATTTTTATTTGCAATTATTGAAAGTGCAAATTTTGCTTGTTTAATGTAAGTAAAAATTTAAGTCATATTTAAGCATGTATTTTCATCTAAATTTTGTTATACAGTAGAAATGAAGGGCAATACTCTACTTTAAGTATGGTATGAAATTTCGAGAAAAAAACAGAAAAAGCAAACTTCACAAAGGTCAGAGGTGAAGCCAGGCGGGCAGCTGCAATGGTATGAACCATCTACATCAACAATACAAATTCCTCCATTAAAGCATGGATTAGGGTCACAAGTAGTGCCTTCTTCACATAATGCACCTGCAAACACAGTAAATTTTCGGTACTCTCAAAATGACCAAATTCATTGTTATCTGCGGCTGTCAATTTAATGACTAATTCAGAATTAAATCGGAAAAAAACAATCTATAAAGTTTTTAATTCTCTTGTGAAATTACATTAAGATGGATGTAGAAAGAAATAATTTAAATGGAAGAGGAAAATTTATGGATTTAAAAATTCAGCAAATTTTATTTCATTAAAACCTGTGGCTTATTTCTAATCTTAACTTGGAAATATAAATCAAGGTATCATTGGTTTTAGCACGAAATAAAGTAATTCAAGTATAATTATTAATAATGATAGACTATAATTATCAATGACATGAATTACATGCAGCATAATACCTTTGAAGCCATCTTTGCACAAGCATGTAAACGAGCCGAGAGTGTTTACGCAAATTGCGTCATTTCTACACGGAGAATTCACACATTCATCAATGTCATTTCCACATAATACTCCATCAAATCCATTTGTGCAATCACACTCGAAAGTATTCTACAAATCAATTCATTTCCTCACTTTAATTATTTCCAAAAAAATATTAGAAAAGTATTTATTTGTAGATGATAATTTTTGAATTTTTAAATTGTAAGCTGAAAAAATTGTAACAAATTATACAAAAAGCAAATCGCTTGCTGATGTTAAGTTTTTAATTCGTTAGAAATTGCCATAAAATTAATAAAGTGAATTGACTGTAAAAGTGGCAATGAAGCAAACATTATAAGTTATAATTACTCCTTGAGAAGTGATTTTGTTTGATAAAACGCTTAATTTACTTTAATTTGTTTGCAAGTTGCATTGTGCTGACATGGATTTGGATCACACAAATCTGTCACGCATTCTGATATATCATTTTCAATTATAACACATCTGAAAATATCCCTAAAAGTTACACTTGGAATGACAATTTTTTGAGCAAGCGATTAATATCAGTAAAAAATATAATATTGATCTTACCGAAGACACTGATAACAATGACATTGATTTTGATATGAAAATCATATCGAGATAAAATAGATTGCATCCCAATGGATATTTTATGCATTCTTTGACAAAAATTGACACCTGCATTTTCTGACTTTATTAAAAATTAGTTAGATAGATTTGAAAATTCACCGTTGACCAACTGGACAACCTTGAACTTGACAATCGAATGATCTAATTTCGCACAATTCTCCCGAAAAGCCTGTAGTATTTATCTTTATGTACTAACTCTTCCATATAAGTTATTTATTGCTAAATATCTTTAAAATTTTATATTCGCGATTATTCACATAATCGAGATGATAATTACTGTCGTTATAATACATATTCATGTGATCAAATATATCAAAACACGCCTCTTTTTCAACTATATTCAATGTTAAATAGCAATAAGTAGATGAAAAAAGTTATTATTATTTTCGTTATTTATTATTATTTATTTGTTTATTATTAATATCATTATTACGATCATTTTACAACTGTCAATAGTGCTATTTGAAATAGCGCAAAGTTGAACTTGCACGATGCAGAAGAAAGTACCTGAAATAATTTCAAATAATAAGAGCTAATAAAAGGTGACAACTCATCAAATTTGAATTCAAAAGTACCTTTTGTGCACTGACACCTTTGTCCCGCACTGGTAAAGGTGCAAAATCCATTGTTGCCACATTTTTTGGAGCAAACTTTTTCCAATTCACAAAGTAATCCTTCAAATCCCTCAGGGCATAAACATCGGAAACTTCGGCTGTCTTCGTTGACCTCACAAGTGCCACCATTCAGACACACATTACTTTCACAATGCCGCGATCCACATATTACTTGAATGTAATATAAACATTAACAACAAAAATAGATCTAATTAATTACTATTAATGAATATCATGATTGTTATTATTAGTATCAACAGTAGACAAAACTGCTGTCAACAATACTGTTTTTCATTATTTATACGTTTAATACAGTTATTTTTCTAATAATTTATTCTGATAATCACTAAATTCCGTGAGTGATTCAAATTTTGAAAACAAAAAATCGCGATTAGAAACATGAAGTTGTCAAGTATCTGATATGATAACTGGCATAAAGTCTTATTACTAATTAGTTTTCATTGATGATCAGAGATAATGAAAGTGACATTAATTACAGTTATCATTGCAAGAAACAATTCACAATTTTCATATGTAAATATTTAGCATTTTTTAATGCATTATTATATTAAAAAGCTTAAAAGTTTTATCCTAATCACAGACAATGAATAGTACTAAAATATACTAAAACTTTAACGAAAGGTTTTACAAAAGTGACAAGATCGCAAATAAAAATTGCTTACCTAAATAATAGAAAACAATCAGAATTAAGCCTTTATAACCCTAATTTCATATTCCTTGAACTATCTGGCTTAAAAGACTATGAGGAAACCTCACTATAAGCTTTTAAAACTCTAAATTTTAATCTGAGGCCAAAAAATCTTATAATTTGCAATACTTTTAACAGAGCTAAGGTCTTCATTTTTTATATTCAAATGGGCAAGAAATAAAAATGTGACTAAATTTTCCCGCGTCAAGTGAGGTCAGGTTCCTGCATCAAATGAGGTCAGGCCATGCAAAATAATTTATTGCTCCTCTGAACTTCAATTAGACAATTTCTTCTAAAAAATCATTTTGCAGTTTTTTTTGCGGTAGCAAAAAAGCTTCAAAATGATAAAATATTATTTCAGAACTTTCAGAATAATTTGTGATTACTATTGAAATTTGCATAAGAAAAACCAAAAATTATTTTTTGCAATCCGTTATTGTAGAAAAATTAATCAGTAAATAATTAAATTCAGTTGAAAATTTTTTTTGTTGACATGAATGCCTTTTTTTTAATCATAGATGACACTCACTAGTATTATTATTATTGAAAATATCACTCTTTGCTATTAATATTATGCACGTTAAACTTATATACGGTTACGTGATTACGTTAAAATGCAATAATTGTTGTATACATAAAATTCATCATGTAAATATTCAAAAGATTGCACTAGGCAATCGTAATTTGTACTTAAATATTGATAACGTTTTCACGTTGACATCAATTACTGGCTGCCAAATGTTGAAAAATAAAAATTTGCAAGAAATAATTTTACGATAAAATAAGTACTGAATTTGTTAAAAGAGTAAAAATTACAGAGAAAATGACTAAAATTCATCAATTCAATTACATTTTTGTATTTTGACATCTATGGTAATGTCAACATGAAAACGAGTTGACATCAATTAATTACAATCAGTCAGTAGAATTTTGCAGTATTCCTAATGTGCTTTCTGTATGCAATTTTCACAATACGAAAGTGTGTTATCTGTTACTGAATTTTATTATTATAATTATTATTATCATAATTACAGTCAGTGATGTTTCAAATTACTGATTACTTGCAACTAAAATCAACAATATAAAGCATTCATAAATTCACTCTGTCCATTTGCACATTTTGTCTAATTTTTATTTTATTACTTGTTTACAGTGTAACTATGAACTATTGGAATGGTTGCTTGAGATTATCTATAATCAATCGTAAAATCTTCATAATTACCTTTCAAGAATTTCAATATTTGTTATAAATTGAATTGATATTTGCTGTAAGGATAAATATAACAGCGACAAAAATTCACTTACACCAAATGAAAATGAGATTTTTTACTAAGTTTCTCTTGATGAAGTAGATTTGAAGCAAGAATAAATCAAACAGAAAGCAAACAAAAACTATAATTTTTTCATCAATCTAACTGATATAATTGTATTTTTTTATTGTAAAATAAAAACAAAATAGTGAAAAGTGTATTTTTGCACTTATTTCTAATTAAATTACTTTTAAGAGATTTTTTTTCACCAATCCATACTATAACTACTTTATAAAGCGATTAAAAAAAGCAACTGATTTCAGTTGTTTGCTTTTGCATCGCTTCAGAAGTAAGTTGAAGTGAGGCCATCAAAATGTGAGCAAAATAACAAACAAAATTTTTAAAGTAACAAAAAAGTATTAAAAAATCTAACTTAAAAAAATAAGATTCACTGATGTAATTAAAATAATGGCTGATTGAATGTTAAAGTTAAAATCCACTTCATTTTATCAACAAATTGTGTGAAGTGATCGAATCTTTGTACGAGAAGAAATATTTAATATTTTGTCGAATGTAGAAGTAAAAAAAGACAGTTTCATGGAAAACAATTACTAACACTTGAAAACATTAATGTCATTTCACACATATCTATTATGAAAACATCCATATTAGGAATCAGACGATGAACGAGTATAATACGCCAAAAAAATTCAGTACTACATAACGGATTAATCGTAATCACAAGTAGTCATTATTTCTTTCACATATAGCTTACCTTTAATTATGCATTTTTGGTTTTATCCCAATTCGACGTTAATCATTATTGTATTAAATGTTAATAACTTACAAGCAATAATTAATAATCATAATACTCAAAAAATGAATAAATTCAAATTTGTAAAAATACATTAGAATAAAAATTATTTGTCTCAATATTCCAGAACAGAATCATGTCGCTGCCATTATTTGAATGATTTGTCATACTTAAAATTACAAATGTAAAGTATATGTCAAAATCTGAAAATCTTAATTTTTAGCAGTAAAATTTTCTATGATCAATCAGAAGTGATCGAAAATTTTGAATAATTTTCACCTACAAATGCAAAAACGTTTTGCACGGAAAAATATAACTTTTTAAAATTCAACTTTTTAAAAAATTTTATTAATAACTTAATTTTTTTATTCAATTTAACTTCTCAATACAATACATTAAAGATTTTTGTTAAAAAATGGCTTAATTCATGCCATACAGTTTTGCACAGTTTGATGCCTGCGATTTTCAGCCTTATTTTTATTTTTGTAAACGCCAAAATTTGTTGCCTTCTCTTGTATCCATACTTTCCACTCATTTTTGGCTGAATTACAGACAGGTTTCGAACAAAATCTATTCATATTTACTGGCAACAAAGGTACCGAACAAAAAATGAAAAGTAGAAAATCACAAGTGTATACTTGTAAAAATGTTATTGCTTTTCAAGTATCTGTGTTCATTAGAGCTCTTGTCTGAGAAGTTTGATTAAAAAATTACAAAATTGTAAATATGAATAAATTTGAATACTAAAATACTCATTCAAATTTGTCTGAACAATTTTTCAGTGCTGAAATTGCAAGTTTTGACCAAATTTTAATTGCTCTATAAAATGGTCTAAAAAATGTAAATACTTGATCGCTGGCATTTTGCAAAAAATCCATCCACATTGCTACATTTTCAACCTTTCATCTTTTTATTGGCATCCAAGCCTAAAATGTTTACTGCAATTTCTATGCGTAACAATCTTTTAAATGTGCGATATAGTACTGATTTTATTACTTTTTTTTGATGATTCAGTTAAAATTTGCATTAAATCACAACTGCTTTATGATAATTTGCAGTAAATTACAATCATCTTTCAGTTTATTCCATTGTTTGATAAGTTGACAATTTGAATAGGATAGTGAAGAGGAATAAGATGACTGACCGACCGGTTAGTGGTCAAATGAAAAATTCTCGAGAGGTCATTCGGAGATTGATCATTCTAGAGTAAACTATACTTATTTACATATTTTACTCATAAAAGCTTGCGGGTACTACGGTTAAGTACTGACATGCACACTCTTGACTTGATCTCGAATTTCCTTAAGAAAACAAACAAAATCTCGTTAGATAGGCACAATCCTTGGGAAGAGAGAAAAAGTCAATGAATGCAAATGATCAATTCTATGGTTAGACTTTAGAATTCAGCCATTTTAACAGATTTAAATAATAACTTGGAAAATATTTTCTAATTAATATGTACAAAAAAGTGTAATTATTAAATGTTCTTGCCATTATTACTCGGAAAACTGCATTAATTAATGGAAAGTTAAAAAAATTTCTTCATGAACTGTTTTTAGAATTTAAATTGTAATGGATTTACTTTGTTTATTATTTAATTTACTAAGAAAAAAATTTGTTGGGTTTGTTCGTTTACTCATAAATTGCGATGCAATTAGAGTGAAAGTTTGTGGACAAAAGTAAACTAACTCAAACAAACCTAACTACTAACTAAAAACTGATATCTGTACCCCTCTGTTAAATATACTGAATGTAAAGTAAGGGATAGTGAAAAACAAGTAATTTGTTTATTCTAGCAAAACCATCATTTTTCATCACAAAATTTGACTTATGTCTATAACTTGAAGGAAAACCCTGCTTTATCCAAGACTAAAAACTGGCACATTGTGACTGATAAATATATTAATAACTACAAAACAAGCAAATTACACCATAATTTTCTGTACTCTAAGTTCAACCTACAATTCTTCGCAGAGAATAAATTGTTAAACATTTGAGAAAGATTTAAATTCAATAAATTAAACTAAACTGCATGAATGAACAGTTCAATAGTTTAAAATTAGATGAAAACTGAGATATCACACTAATATTATTTTCTATTGCTGATAATATCAATTTAGGGTTTTTTAGATGAAAACAGTCAAGTGTTGTTTATTCAGAAGTTTAAAAAATGTGTTGAATGATAACAAATTATACTCGAAACATTCAAACAATTATGAAATTCCATGGAGAAGGTTTGAATGAACAAAGAGGTTGGATCAGGACAAAAGTGGCATTTTGTTAATTTTAAATTTTGAATACAGTATTTTGGAATCAGAATTGTAATCAAAATAGAAATACATAATACTGTAATGAA